TGCATCTAGAGATCTAGGTCTAGTGAATCTAAATCTAGATCTAGATCTAGATTCAGAACGTAGCCTAGGCTTCTTATTATTCACAACATATTTTGACTGAAACTAGGGTAATAATAGAGTGAAACCGATGAAACTGTAGACTGTAGGTCCATTCGCCTAAATGTGTGCAGCTTGTAGCCTACCAGAACAATAAGAACTTAAATTTTCAGGGACCTTCAAAAATATTTTATTTGTCTTTCATTTCTTCTAATTACTTTCTTCATGGTCAAAGTTAGTATACTAGATCTAGATCTGGATTCTTATCTACCACTACTAGATCTAGATCTAGATCTAGTCTAGAATCTAGATTTAGTCAACAAATTCTCATTGCTTTTTGGGTTTTTTTATGGGTCTAGAATCTGGTCTGGACAGCTGAATTGACTCTAATGACATACACTCTCGTGGCACCTTTGTTCTATCAGTTTCTGTGAATGAATTTGTTAACTTTCACTGGTTTAGATAATAAAGATTTTAAATCTAATAAAAATAATAATGAAGATCATGTCTATAGCGCCCACTCCCGTGTAAACACAGCTCTAGGCACTGTACATAAATGTATCATATACGAACGATATTCACGCACGCAACACACACACACACACTAACACACACACATACACACAGAAACACACTCACACACTCACACACTCACTCACACATTACACGCACACATATGTGCACACACATACACACCACACACACACACACACACACACACACACACACACACACACACACACAACTACTTGCTTATATGCGCACGCTTACATATCATTACGAAATGAGCACACATACACAACATAATAAAATAATGTGATTGGCTCGATATTATAGAGAACAAACTCAGGCTGTTTTTTTTTTTTACTTACTCTGCTATTGAAAACCTCAAAACTTGAAAATACAGTCCTTGTTTGACTTGTAGTTCTCATAGGAATTGGCATCTTTGTTGTATTTGGTAAAAATATTAGCTTGAATACACAGAAGAGGTGGGGAGGTGTAACAGATGAGTAAACATGACATTAGAAGGAACTAGATCTACTTAAACAGATGGCAGTTTTCTTTGTTTGGGGGGTGGGGGTGGGGGCATAATTTTTATTTCTCTTAGGATTCTTGATCCTGGTCGATTTCTGCAGTTTTAACAGTTGATTCCTTCAACTTGCCTATTTTGTGATTTACAATGACAATATTTATGTTGGCCGTACAGACTGATTTATTCAGGAAGAAAGTAAGTGGAAATGATACTTTGGAGGTTTCGCAGAAAATACAGTAGAAACAGTTGATTAGAGAGAGAAGGTGGGTGGCTGGGGTGCTCTGGGATGGTTTGCTCCTTCTTTCTTAACAAACATCTATCATCCTTAAATCTCAACTCCTGAAAAAAAATTTTTCAAGAAAGTAACACCCGTAATCTTCGGCACTTATAGAGCGCCTATTTATGTTACAATTGCCATAAAATTGTAGGTAAACTAAAATTCAAAGAGATGGAAAGTCTCACAAAAAGAATCTAAAATGGTCTCACTGTTGAATGTAGAAGTAGAAGAGATATATAGATAGATAAAAACAGCTGTGTCTGGCTCTGGCAGCTCATACTTTTGTGGACTGTTAGTTTGTCTTGTTTTCAATCATATGAAGTACGTTACAGATGAGATATAGATTCAGTTGACCTGCAGTTGGTCACATGTACAGTGGAGTCCACTAAAAGTGAACGTGGGTAATCCAAGAATAGTAGCAGTAAACTGAAAGAAAATAAAAATTATGATTTTCTCTGCTTTTTTTAGCAATCTCTCTATACCAAAAACGTGGTCAAACCAAACAAAACCTGTTGTTTTCAGTTTAAGTGAACTCCATCGTACAGTCACATGATGAATGGGCAGCTCATTAAGGTCTGCACAAATCTGTGCAGCTATATTTCCTATGCCTGGATATAAATATTAAAAGATGTGTCTGTGGAAAATGTTTGTGATTCATAACTTTGCTAACAGTGGGTTTTTTGCCTTCTGTTTCTTCGGACAATGAAAATGATAGTGTGTAGCCTTGAAAATCAACTGTGTTTGTTGTGTGTAAGTCATGGAGACCTTAGGAGGAAAAGGATGTATTAGTCACAAGAACAAAATGGAGGGCCTCAGCCTTTGTTTCACGTGTTCAAATGGACTATTGCCATTTTTTCCATAGGCCTATATATATATATGTTTAAATGTTTTAATTATATATGTCACTAGTACATGGCTACAGTCGTTGCTGGTATTAATGGTATTGTGGACAAAATGGAAAAAGCCAAATCATAGGTCGAAGCAGGTCAGACAGAGAGTAACAAATTGAAATTATGGCTAATTATTATTGGCATTTTCTCCCTGTACCCTTTAAATGTTGCTTGTGATGTATAGAAGATACACTGCTTGTACAATGTTGTTTGTAGCTTTAAATGTGTTCCTGCTCTACTTCATAAACCTCTTTTTGGCAGTATGGCATGCCAGCTTTGCCTACGAATTGGATTTAAGTCAGTTTGATACACAAGTTGTGTACAAATCAGAACAAGTAACCAGAAAGTAAGGCTTTTATTTCTGAGTGCCATGCGGTTGATTATTTCATGTGTCTTTTCAAGGTATTAGCACCCAGCAACATTTATTTTGTTTTCTTAAAACAATCCCAATACGTTGACTACACTATGAATATTACAACACTCTGCGATTTTCTTTAAAAAAAAATTGTGCTGCTGTTTGAAGTCATATTTTCATGACAGGGTGAACTATTATACTTTCTGTTTGTATGTTTTTATAGTTTGCGTCAATATCTTTTTTATTAGGTGTGCTTAAATGTGTGTGTGGGGGGAGGGGGGGGGGGATTTACTTTAACAATTTATGTGATACCTGCTTGAAGTTTGAAGTAAGGTCAGTGGTTGATGTAGGTATCGGCACTATCTTGCTTTTCTTTTGGTCTTGGGCACCGAGTCCCAAATGGAGGGGCACTTGTTTTCCTGCTCTTTAATGCTGCTCAAAAAGTAATAATCATCTTCAGTGGATTGATTCCATGGCTTGTTAGTAGGGTTTAAAAAATGTGTTACAAAGAAGATGACAATTTGATTAAGGGATATGTATATAAATATTACCAACAAAATAGTGATGAATATACCATACTGTTTAATACCTGTTTACTTTTCGAAGAATGCTTCCGCAAAAGCAAGGTTTGCTTGTTGTATTGCATAAATTTGAAATCAGAGCTCCATGACTGCAGGTTGCTTTTCGATGCATATATCGCTTTTTTGTTCAGAAAGTTTACTGTATTGACTGAAGTACTCTGTATGATAAGCTTTTATACTCCAACAAGACTGGTGTCCGTAAGTGTAGTTTTTTAGGTGTTTCACCGCTGCACACAGGAGACCTGAGTTCCAATCCCAAGTGGGGAGAATTTTTATTCAAGAGCCTGTCTTTCTGCTGGGATATTGTGTGTCCCTCTCAGTCCTGGTTGGCCCTGACAGGCAAGGTTGAAGCTCACCTTTTAAATTATCTAAAGTTTTTTTTAAATATCTGTATATTCATGGTTCTATTATATTCCGAACTGATCCGGCTTTAGGTTATGCAGATTATACTGAAAAAGAATATTCTGTTCAGTTTTGAATACTCAGGGTGAATTATGTAAATGTCGTGAGAGCAAGAAACATCAATTAAGACAAGTGTCACCTGATATCTGCTGTATACTTGATTAAATCTGAAATGAGAGAAGGAAAAAAATTAAATGAGGAGGGGGGTGGTGGCTTGGTGGGGGGAATGATCAATGACCTTTAAATCTGGTCTTTATAAAATGCAATGTGCAGTTTATGAAGATATATGAATCGAATTCAGTGTGGATTATCCAATTGGGTGGTCGGCGGGTACATTAGTGTGGTTTGCTCCTTCTTTCTTTTCAAACACCTATCATCCTCAGTCCTCTTTCTTTTCATTTTTTCGTTATTCTGTCTTGTAACACCTCTAATGCTCAACACTAGTGTGATCTGTTTGTATTACAAGAGAAGTAAAACGCTTAATAAAACTGATACTAAGACAATCGAGTTGTGTAGATACATTCTTATAAGTACATGTGTATTATATCAAGGCTTACTTGTGTTTATATTACCTTTGTGTGGTATAATGCGAAAACACTCGCATGTTTTATTGTTAAGTATGTTTTTGTGAGGAAAATCTCACAATTTGAAGAATATGGAACTAGTGTCAGTGGTGTAACAGGAAGGGTCTTCACTAGTAACATGGAGACAATTTAAGGATGAGTTTAAATCCCGCAAAGGGAAGTTGTTATGTCGAGTTTCCGTGTCTGGCTACACAGCTAAGGTTGGCACAGACTGGTGTAGGGTCAAAGCAACCTGCCTTCTAATTGATCTAAATTGTGTCGATGGGGATGTGAAAATGTATTAAGCGTTTACGAAGTGCGAGAATGTACAGTTGGACCTGCTCCAACGGTCATCTCTTCAAGTCAATCACCTGTACAAACAACCACTCCCCACCTTTCCCCTTTTTCTTTTTTTTTCTTTTTTCATTATTATAGTGACACTGTCCAAGACACCCACCTGTTAAGTCAACCATTTTTCTGCTCGACCATTGTAGGCTGTCTTGGACAATTTCAAATTAACTGCAGTAGACTCAGTCTGTAAAGAGAGGTTGTTCTGAAAGCAATTAACATGCAGTTGGGAGTGGTTTTTGCTGTCTTTTGTCGACAGAAACGGAGGCTTTCGTTTTAGAAATGTCACCCTTGCATTTGGCGAGGGGGGGTTGCAGCTCCTAGGAATGGTAGGCTAGTGTTCTAATGGATAATGTCTGTATCTGTTTGTGTGAACCACACTTTAATTTGCAGGATATTCTGGGGTGTAAGTGCAGGCCGATAGCAGGATAATCATGATAGACTTGTCTGTTGGAAGATCTTGATAGATTGTGTGTGTACATGTGTGTATGTGTGTTCATGTGTGTGTGTGTGTGTGTGTGTGTGTGTGTGTGCGTGCGTGCTTGCGAGTGCGCGTGTGTGTGTGTGTGTCTGTTTGTTTGTGTGTGTGTGTGTGTATGTGTGTGTGTG